TCCTAAAATCTTATTGCATCCCTTTGCTAAAAGGTTTGTGAAAATAGGATTACATTTACTCTTGTAAAAAATCAAAACTACTTTCTCCACTTAATCTTCACTCTAGACTGTGCTTAGTCATTCACAATCAAATGTAGAGTTAAATAAAAATGCTTTTTTATACTTTAAAAAGCTAAGGAGAACAATTTAGAAATAATATGACCTGCCATAGACCATCCAAAATTATTTCTGATGCCAGTATCAGTCCCGAGGACTCAGTTCAGATAATATTATGAATGAAAAATTCATAACTGCAATAAATCCTGGTAAAATATATTCATACACTGACATTTAACAATTTAATTAGAAACATCTAAATGAATGGAGCAGTTCCCTTGTTTGGAGACCAAGAATATAAACAAACTGTCATGAGTTGCTGCACAAGACTAGAGAGTCTCACTGTAGAAGAGCCATGATAGTGGACCTGGGAGCGGCAAAGCTTTTGTTACCTTGCCATAGCAAGACAAAAGCAGTGTTGGTGCCACTTGCTGGAAAGGCTAAGGGGGCCTGCTATTCTTGGACTTCAGAAGGCCTATGCTCTACATCTTTATTGCTCAGCTCTAGGAAGAGGCAGTAGACCCAATCTGGAGTTACATCTTAGTTGAACAAAGGATGACTCTTGGCAAAGTAGTTCATAACTCCTACAAACCCAAACATAACTACAATTGCTCACAGCAAGAAACTTATAAATATCCACTGGGTAAGCCCAACAGTCCTCCTCAAGCTACCTGGTAGGCAAAATGCATACAATAAAGTTGGGGGATTCATGCAAATACATATGGTGACATCACAATTTTATTGTACTTACAGCCATCAAAGCCTCAACTGTTTTTTCATGCACATAGTTTCTACATAGTTCTCATTATCACCCACTTCTAATGATGCAAATCTCATTAGCCATAAGGACTGAAATAAGTGCTTAAATATAAATTCCTATCTTCAAGCAGACAAGACCTCCTGAACAGAAGCTGGCAGAAGAGCTTACTTAGAGAGCAGTCGTGCAGTGACTCATCTGTGTTTGCACAACATGTTTCTATCAGCACTCATGTCTATTTGTAGCCTGACAATAAGGCCCTGTGTGAACCATCTCTTAGCTGTCTGCCTGCAGAGCAAGGACACTCTTCTCAGTTAACTCACGGCGCTACCTGGGCTGCACAGACACCCACTGCCTCCTTTAGGAAGATACGTGACACAGCTGAAGATTTGTCGAGCTGTACCAGTGCTTTCTGCCTAGTCTTGGTCCTAGTGCATAAAAAGCCAAATGAAGCAGGTCACCTGACTTGCTAAATGCACCATGAGTGGTGTGAATACACCCACTGGTATCTCAGGAGGAGGGATAGCTGCAAAAAAGATCACTTTCATCTGAAGCTACAGGAGCTACCACAGTGGGATTCTTCCCTACTTACTCACCCAGCCCTGTACCAGCAACAGTTAAAACAATGCCTAGAGCAATGTTTGTAAAGAAATGAATTAACCTTTTGGTGGGACCTGTAAAATGACCTGGGTCTTAGCCCAAACAAAGTCCCAAAGACCTCAACTGCCATGATATCAAAAATGGACAGTAAAGTGCACATCTTTTTAGAAATAAGACACATCAACAAAGAAAACCACATAGATAATACAACTACTTGATGAATTTCTGTTCTACAAAAACATGTTAACAGTCATTATGTTTTTAAGCCTAAAATGTGTTGACAATCATTTATATTTTTATCTTTCGTTTCCAGTGTCTCTGCCACCCACTGTGACTGCTAGAAGAGCTGAATCAGACTCATGGCAGAGGACATAACCAAGATAGTTCTTAATGGAAAAATAGGCTTCTGAAGTGGAAGAGAAAGAATGTTTTTCAGTATTTCCATTCACAAAAACCTTCAAAACAGTATGTTCAAAGTTTTAACAAAATTATCAATGGCAGTTACAAAACCTACTCATCAAATAAATGATGTCTGGAAAATATGATAATAGGTTTGCATTACTTTGAGTTATCAACTCCCAAAGTGATATCCAGAAAATGGTTATTTAGTATTCTGATACACCAAACCATTTGTATTTCTTCTGAAATCTTCAAAACAAAACAAACAAAAAAATCAAAGAGCTAATTCCACTGGCACAGTCATTCCCAGGTCATGTATCACAGAGAGCAGCAGCATGTTGCCCATACATTTTTTTTTCTTTTTCTTTTTTTTTTTTTACAAGGTCTCATACACAGTTTGACTCATAGTGATCTTCCTGTCTCAACCTCCCCAGTACTGGGATAACAGGTGTGTGCCACCATGCCTGGTTCTGGGGCCAGCATAGCATATGGTACTGGGGATCAAACTTGGGACCTTGCACTTGCCAGGTAGACACTTAAGCCACCAAACTAGTCCCTGCCTACACATGTTACATGGCATGCCCTTTTCCTAAGCACCCAATCTGATAGGAGTGGAGTCCCATAGGAGAAAGCAGAACAGGTTTCAACTAACTTCTCCCTGTCTCAGAGGCTACATTCCAAACCTCAGTGTTAGGAAGCTGCAAGCTTAACAATTCAGCTCAAAAAAAGAATAAACTCACACAAGTGCCAAAATATGCTTATCTCAATGAGAGCACCCCTGAAAAAATATTAAAAATCATCTCTACAAGAAGGTCTCAGGGGTCAGGAGATAGCTCAGTTTTCTAAGGTCCTGCCTGGCAAGCACATGCACCAGGGTTCGATCCCTAGTAATATATGCTGTGCAAGCCATTGAAACTGGACATGGTGGCACATACCTATAATCTGAGCACTGGGGAGGCTAAGACAAGATGATCACTATGGGTCCAAGCTTCATAGTAAGACCCCATACCAAATAAATAAATAAATATTTTTTTAAAAAGATCTCTGTACATTCTGATAGACAGATGATTGTTTTTGTTCAAACCACTTTCTCAAAAATCACAGATTTCATTTACTTTGTTAACAGTTGGCTGCCCGTTGTATCTCCTACATGCTGGCCTTGGTGCACTGGCTTGCTTTTTTGAATGATCTGTTACAGTGATCATATATGGTCATCTTGATGAGGAAGAGCTGCACAATGTGGAGATGGATCTGAGCTTCTAGAACTCCCATTGCTGACCTCACAGGACAAGTTATCTGTTCCTATCTCAGGGATGAGCAAAAGGGGAGAGGGAGAGGGAGAGGGAGATGGGGAGACAGTCTCTTTGTGTCCTTCATCTCTGATTCTTACACTTGGTCTCTAGAACCTGTGCTGCTGGTCTCTCATGGATAACACAAAGATAAGTGTGCTTTATTTTTAAACTATTAATTGTCGTTAAGACTTAAAAGTCACAAGATATTACTGAGAATTTGAATGTCCAACCTCTCTTTGAAAATCAGAAAATGAAACAATTTTGGGGACATTCACAGGGAAAAAAGCAGACGAGTGGAAACTCCTCTTTCTAGTAGATTGCGAGTTCTCAGGAGTCATCACTGCCCTTGTACTGCAAGGAAGCCCACAGCAAACTGTGTGGACAGGGCCAGACCCAGATGTCCAGTCACCCCAGCCCCAGGACATACATGCGAGTCAAAAGAAATAGGGTGACATCAACCCTGAGGCTATCTACACCAAGAAAAACCCATTTAGCTGAGCCAGTAAGCCAGGTAAAGCATGAAAGATGACAAAAAAAAAAAAAAAAAAAAAAAAAAAAAAAAAAAAAAAAAAGAGGGCAATAGGTTATGCAGCAAAACTAACAGACAAGGCTTTTTAAACTAAAATGCAATAATTAGGACCAGCCAAATAGGTGAGCAGAATAAGCACCTACTTAGGCAAGTGCAGGGACTGGATTGGATCTCTGGCACCACATGCCATGCTGGCCCCACCCCCAGGTGGGCTGAGCTGACCATGAAGACCAGGTGAGCTGAAAACAGGGGGATGACTACAAGTCAAGCTGCATACTGAGACCCTGTGCCAAATACATTAAAAAATAAAATAAAATGCAATAATTGCTTAAAGTAATTTCTCCTTTATATTGGGAGCAACACAATTATATAGAATAGCCCCATCTTTTTGTATTCAGGAAGAAATCTAGAACATAAGTGAGGAGAAAGGAGAAATGAAAGAAAAGTGATTTTTAAAATTAATTCCATTTTAAAAAGCTGGCCGGAAGCATTTGTAAATATCACATTGATTAGACATTAATAAATAGTAAAGTGGAAGAGATAATTTGAAAAGGACTTAAAATAACCTCTTTTCATTAGTGTCTCAGCTTCATTTATTCTTCTGTAGGAAGTTTATAGCACAATGTCTATTTTTTAAAGATTAATTTATACAGTTTTGTACATATTGTTCCAATCAATTTAAGGGAACTTCTTTTAACCATTAAAACTGTGGCTATTATCGATGCAAAAGGAAGGTAAACACTACCTTCAAAGTAACCAACAAACTGTGGTTACAATTAATGTTTCCCAATTAGCCATGCCAAAATCCTTACAGTTTAATGGGAGACAGGTCCAAGTAGAGAAAAAACAACTTGCAATTTGTGTTCATTGTGCAGAATTCTACTGGGAGCAAATCACTGCATTGTCTGATGACCCTATTTGCTCATACAAAAACAAAGGTGAAGAGTAAGGAATCATGTCTGTATTCTGAGTCATTTTCAAGTTCCACAGAACAAACTCCGTAATTTCAGGATAGCAGAACAGCAAAACTTTGTGCGTTGCACACAACAAGTAAAGCAGCTGATATGCTTTGCCCAAATAGAATTGTGAATTCTCATCTCCTCCCATCTCCACTGGTGACTCAAGCCAGATTTCATCGAGCTATTTCTGTAATTACTAACATGCTGGAAATACAGCACCAAGCCAGAAGCAAACTAAAATGCAACCTCCACCAAAAGGAAGAAAATCACGCTGAGTAACTGAAAGGCCATCTGCTTCCAACAGAGCTGCAGGGGTGAGGGTGACAATCTGGGCTGTACTATTTGTGTCCTCCCCAAACGAGACCCACCTGCATGTTGTCAGTGGCATCCCCAAGCAGTCCTCCAAAAGTGATGGCATTAGTTACAGTTGCCAGATAGATGAAGAGAATTGCTGAAAGAGCCTGAATATTTAAAGCATCATAAAAATCACTGGCAAAAAATGGTGCTTTCCTCTTTATGTCTTTAATTAATCCACCACAGAACCTGGATAGGGAAAGAGAGCAAACATACATGTGAGCAAATACAAAATAAATGACAATAAAATCTACCAAAATTTAATTAAGCATACCACAAATAATTTGTACTTCAGACAATGACAAGACACAATTTAACCACTTAAGATGAGAGCAGAAAACTGCACGGGAATGAATTTTCTTCTATGTCTCCTTTTCAATCACCAAATAGGTGCCATATTCCCCAAGGATCATCTAGTGGGTCTTTAGATGAGAGGCAACTGTGAAATAAACTAAAACTTTTCATCCCCTAACAGAAATGTCTCCCTGTGTGAGCAAGTCATCTGTACTACTTCCTAATCTTGTCACAGTCCTTCCCTTCCCCATCTATCTCCAATCATCTACCCATCCTATAAGTGCTCACTGAGAGCCTCTGTTAGGCCCATACTACAGCACCATTCTGGGTTCTGAAGCACAGCAGTGAAAATCCATGGACCAAAGGCCATTACACATGTGGAGTTTGCTTTCTGGGGACACGGGAAAGATAACAGACAAAAAAATCAGTAAAATGTGTAGCACTACAATAAGGACAAAATTAAGTGGAGAGGAGATATTTAAGTTTTAGACAAAGTGGCAGAAAAGGCCCCTCATAAGGTGACTTTGGGGTAGAGCCCTGTAGGAGCCAAGGGAGGCAGGCATGGAGGTGTGCCACAGAAGGAGGGGCAACCCAAACACATGGCAGCTGAGCAGGTGAGCCAGCTGATGGAGCAGCCACTTCCCTCCCAAATAAACCTCTCAGCTCAGCCTTCTGATGAATTCCACAGCTTCTGCACAGAATGCCCTGTGCTAGGACAAGGTGGTCCAAGGTGGGTACCTTTATCAGTACTTTAGAGTACACTCCTGCTTACTGAAAGTGTATTGTGAAACAATGGACTATGTTACAATGGTGCCAGCCTCACACATCCTATTTTCATATTTAACTTTTGACTGCACCAAGGGGTCCCATTAAAGGTCTGGCCCACACCACTGCAGGCTAAGTGCACTCCATGCTAGGTGCACAATGATAAAACCACATAACACAATCCTCAGACTACACCCCTACCACTCCACTGTGTGTGTGTCATTAGGAAATGGGCATGAGAGAAAGTGTTGTATTTTTTATTCTCTAAGAATAAAGAGAACAAAACAATTTCCTCCTAATTTGGGAGAGAAATCTATGCGGTTCATTTAGAGAGGAAGTAACTTTATCTTTATCATTTTAGACTTAGCTGCATACTAAAATGACACACTGTTTTTGTTTTGTTTTAAATTTCAATATGTTTTTTAAAAAGTTGTATCTTTCTTATTAAAAATTTTACTTAACCCAAAGTGATAAAGAGAACTTGAGAGTGGAGAACCAGGAAAGGAAAGGAGCTGCAGCCTTCTGGGTTGCCTGGATTCCCACTTTAGGCATAGGCAGGTTAGGGATGAGAGCCAGGACTAAGAGCCACTCACACTGCTCCTGCTCACTCACTTGGGAGTAAACAGACAGGCTGTGGTGGAGGCCCCATGAGACAGGCTACAGTCTCCAACCAATGCAGCTGTCACCATGCCTGCCACACAGTCTGCTGTCAGCCCACAGGCACTGTGTCCAGTGTCCTCCCTGCCCTGTTCTGCATGCATTGCCTATGCCCCTTCTGCCTGCACTGTTGGCCTCCTCTCCCTACTCATCTAGACTTGCTGTACTACATTCCCATCATGCTGCCCTAGTCCTGCCTTATGTTTTCTCATAAAACCATCACTTTCAGTGCACTGCTAGCCCCCCAGTACCTATGTCCAATAGGTACTCTATTGATATCTGTTCCCTGAACAAATAGAAAACACAATAAATAAAATGAGGAAGGTAAACTCAGAAAGGTGAAAGGAAATTTAGATCCAAAGAAAACCTTCTCAAGAATGGCAAAAGGGTCCATCAGTTACCGTCCAGTCCGCTGCAGCTCTTCACAGTCCCCGTGGCCTCCTCCTCCATGGCCACCATCATGGGGCGTGTCCCCGTTCATCTGAACACTGTCCCCACCTGAGTACATGTTCTTTCTAAGAGATACAACAGAGCCCAAGCGGGGATCAGTTTACTGTATTCACTTGCTTCCCTGTTGATACTAGCTTATGGGAAGGAACACTAAAAACCTTCTGGTAGACAAACCATTACTTTTTTCTGATGCCTTAACAGACAGTTCTTAAAATGTCATAGTCAGCACCAAGACCAAGGATTGGATGGAGAGACAAGCTGAATTAAGGGTATAAGAGGGAAACTTCCACCTGGACAATAAGAGATTTCCAGGAAATGGTTTCTCATCAAATACCTCACACAATTTCTCAACATCTTACAGCTTTGCAGACTCATTTTGAATAAACTGATTTTTCCACATGTACAGGGAGTCCCCAAAACACCCTAAAATGTCTGTTATATATGCAAACATCAGGATATGAGCTCTCTAATTTGTAATCACTGAAGAAAATCAAAACATTAAACATTTATTTTATACTGTCAAGGAAATGTGAAACCATGACCTGTAAATGGTTCCCATGAAGCAATACATTCATGGAGACCTAAAAATATTAGGGCAGCAGTTTGACCCTGCTGTTCCTTCCCAGATACAAATGCAGCCCCATGGGATTCCTGGCATCTTAAAGCTCCCAGCTGCTGAGCAGTCTTACCTCTTGTCAGATGATGGCAGACTCTTAGGAGGCTCTATCCTGATGGCTGGGTCCCACTCCCCTGGTGGAAGAACAATGACCTCATCTAGAAACTCGTCAATCCCAGCGATCAGGTCATGTCTGTCTTTTGCTTTATAAGCGATGTCATGGAAAACCTGCAGAAAAGCAAGAGATGTGTTGGTCCAACAAGGGAACTGTTAACTTGCATCATACCTCACCAAGCTGAAAAACACAATCCATAATACACTGGCATTATTGCCATACAATATTCCTATATTCTATACTATTTGGCTTGTTCAAAATTTTTATTTTTAATTTTTTTTATGGTGCTGCCAAGCTTCTTGTAAGCGAGCCAATGTTCTACAACTGAGCTACACTCCCACCTATTTCAAGTCTTATGAATTCTTACAGTGATCTCAAACAATACAGGTGCAGGTGAGGAAATAACTATTTTAAATAGGGTTTATTCCCTATCAATACTGTAAAATTACATGCCTTTCACTACCACTCCCTCAGGACTATTTCTGATAGAGTTGCTAAGGAGCCAGATGAAAACACTTTGGAGAAATACAATGAAGAGTCATTCTCTAACACAGAAACTACTAGAGCAAACAACTACTGATAATTCAAGAAGGAAAAGTTCATGCTGAGGATTAAGATCAAGTTAAGATTCAAACACTGTGGTTTTCAAACCATAAATGGCATGTACCACTTAAAAAAAGAGAGAGAAATCTGAGTTATATCAGCAACACACAAAGAAAAGAATCTACTTACATTATCATTTGTCTCTCTTTAGCAAGGTAAGAGCTAATCTATCCAAGGCAACAAATTCCACTGAAGGAATTTACTTTTGACAACTATTCTATTTTTCTAAACAAGGTGACCATCTGAAAGTTCTAAACACATAAACTTACTTCATAAGTCAAATAATTCAACTTCCAGAAGAGATGCCCCCTGTTCCACACCTTACCTACTCATTTCAACTAACTCTTTTCCATAAAGGCAGTTTTAAAAGCTGTCAATCAAATGACAATTTAATGGTTTGGTGATTATAGGGTAGGCAGAGGCAACAAAAGGTACCAACTCATCTTGTGGGAAGACACTACCAGCTTGCTTTTATTTTCTCCAGCTATCTCCACTACCGAGACTGGGGAGTGACACACTTTCCCAGCCAGCCCTGCAGATAAAGACTGACAGCTATAGCCAATGCAATAGAAGAGAAAGGCTATTTGGGAAAATCTTAAAATACCTAGTTAAAAAAAACAGAAGAGGCCACATTCCTCACAGTATCCCACCCTTTTTTCCTGCACTGAATGGAGATGAAATGACAAGCTAGCTGTGCACAGTTCACAGTACTAATGGGATGGCATGACAGGCCATCTGAAGAGGACCCTTAGCCCTCAGCTGAACTCCAAACAATTAACACAAATCAACCTCAGCTGCCACCTACCTCCTGACTTTCTGTTACATGAAAATGCTAAACCCCAGTTTAAGCCACGATAAGTTTATAAATTGCAGCCTAAAGCATTCCTAGTTAATTGTATCTTAAAGCATTCCTAGTTAATGCATCTTAAGAGGGAGACTTTTAAAAAGAAATAAATTATAAACATGCAAAAAATAAATAAAATGAATTTACTACACTCAGGGAAAAAATTGTTCCCTCAAGGGAAAAATAACAACATAACTATACTACAAAGCTCTCAACGCCAGAAAACAACAACTACCTGCATTATCACCAGACAAAGCCCTTACTCAGAAAAGGGTCAGTTCTTTATCTAACATGGAAAAACCAACAAATCAAGCAATGACATAAAAGCAAAACACTTTCAATATTAGAAAAAAAGACACAGAAGCAGAAGTTAAAGAACCTATATCCTAATAGTATTTTTCTTATCATGAGAATAGTCAGAGTTTTATTTAACCTCAAATGTGTATACAACATCTCAGCTTTTATAAGAGTGATTGAGATCATAATCCTGAAGCACTAGACCCTGCAGTAGCTATTGCTCAGCTAGGTTACACACATGTCACACCTTCCCACCTTTTTTATAGCAAGAAACTATAAAAACATGTACTCTCTAATACCTAGGAAAAATACACTCACCATTTTTGTATGTGTTATTATAAAACATGATTTCCAAACCAATATACTATATAGATAGTTCATATATTAAACATTTTAACAGATAAAGTTAAAAACAATGACATTAAACTTTTTAAAGGATATTTAACATATATCATTTTAAAGAACTGCAAGTATGTGATGATCTGATCAAGATAAATGTACATCTATCTCCTCAGATGTGTCTGTGCCAGGAATATTTAAACTCCCATTTCCTAGCTATTAGAAAGATACAATTAATTTCAATTATGCTTAGCCTACCATGCCTCAGATCATCATAAACTGCACGCATGTATTGGAATATCAGACTATAAGCTGCAACAAGTTATGTCAATTAAAATATTTTAACTTTTTGAAAGAATTAAAAATGTTGAGAAAAAGAAGCAAAAGATGGGGTTAACTCAATGATAGAACATTTACCCTGATTCACTGTTCAGTGCCTCAAATAAAAAAGGAAAAGAAAAACACGTTTATGTGTTTTCTTTCAACACTGAGTTATTACAGACAAAATGTATGCATTACTTTTGGAAAAATCCACTCCATAGGTTACAGCAACACGTTTCCACCAGCAACTGTCATGCAAAGGCCTGCTGACTGCATGTTTTAATGAAGGAACTATGCTGGTGTCTCTGTGGATATGCTGACCTGGGCGGGTAATCAGCAGGAGGAGGACAGTGACAGAGCCCCAGCTTCCCGTAACCTACCTCATCAGACATCAAGGTCGCGATGGCTCTGCCAATCTCATGGTAAGATTTGGCTTTCCCCTTAGGACCTAAGAGAATGAACAAGAACCTAATGGAAAAAGGAAAAAACAGAAACTATAACACAAATTTTATCAAGCTTAACATACATAATGGTGAACATTTTTACTTTAGTTCAGAAAAATTTAGGTCTAGAACTCATCTTCAAAACAAAGGTTATGTTCTTGGTACTCTGAAAGATACTCTTTCACACAGTTGCAAAATACAAATCATTGTTTGGTTTAGCTGGAGGCAAAGGAAACTTAAGATGCCTCTTCCTGAGTAGGAAAGTTTTGCTTTATGTACTGTATGAGTCATTCCAGTTTTCATTTTAAACTTTCTTCTTTCTCATTTCTACTGACATTTGTAATCTTTAGAGCAAACCTGTTATGCACAATAACTAGTAAGACAGTACACTAGTAGGTTTACTGACTTTCCTGTGCCAACATACGCAGTGAAAATGGTTCTCTCCATACTTGTGAGAAATTATTTCTACTCACAAGTGGGTGAAAATCAGCAAATAACAAATCTTCTACAAGTAAGCTACATGCTGATAGCCAAAGAAAGGAAAAAGAAATATGAGAGAAATTCCCAATAAAATATCATTCACACACAGACAGGTAAGACAATTTTGTGGGTGTCCTCATTCTCCTTTCCAAATTTGTTTTCTTAATAATGCACAGAGCACTGCTCCATATCTCACAGGTTCTGAACCATCCAGCCCTCAGCTTGGTCCCACTTATCATGTTGGAATCCCACTGGGGAGGAAGGAACCTGCTAAACAAATGAATAAGGAAAAACTCAACAGAGAGTGATCTGGATAAATCCTCACCTTGATACTAATCACATCTTACCTAACATTGAGATGAGGAGAACAACATAAATAATGGTATTATAGGCCTGTGCTGCTTTTTAAAGCCTGCTGAACATTTCATATTCATCACCCTATTTCAACCTCCCTACAAGCCTTAGCAAAGAAAACTGTTCTACTACTGCTGATAGCTGTGAGGAGACTGAGGCTGATGGATGTAACTGATGAGCTTCTTAAGTGATGGGTGTCAGGGGTCATTAGGCCCTGGGTTCCTCCCTCACACCAAAAACAAAACCAAAAGAAGACTAAATGAATGACTAAAGATAGTCAGGCCTTCTTACATTCTGTTCTTTTGACCAAATAATCTGCCTAATATCAACTGCCCAACCAATACACCAGGCCTGTGATTGAACAAAGGAAAAACATCTCTAAGTAGCTTCTACAGGTAACTTGGCAATTTTTTGTATCAGGGATGGCTTAGCACTTTACTTTGACAAATGTTACTATTATTTACTTCTATATCTTATATTAAATTAAAAATAATTTACAAATAGTATTCTATAAAACGTTAGGTTCTATTTCAAAATACTGTATATTGAATGTATAATCACATTTTTCTTATAAATTCAAAAAAGAAAGGAAAAATAACCCAAAATTAAGTCTAAGATTTTTTTTTTGTGGAGCCAGGGATTGAACTCAGGCCCTTTGCATTGGCTAGGCAAGCACTTATTCTACTGACCTATCTCTTCAGCTGTCTTATCTCCCCAGCCCCCTAACCCAAAATTAAGAAAGCAAAAAAAGATCTGAAAGTTTGAATGCTCAGATTTTACTTAGAATAACCATAAAACCATTGAGCGTTTATTTGTGTAGAAACCAGCTATGGAGTGAAGTGGCACCCTGCTGTTGAGAGTCAACACAGCCACTAAGTAAACTAGCAAAAGGGCCAGCATGAAGGTTCACAAGAATCAGTGTTAGAAGGGGCCAGGGAGATGGCTCAGAAGAATAAGCACTTGCCTGGCAAGTGCAAGGGTCTGAGTTCAATCCCTGGTTCCACCAAAAAAAAAAAAAAAAAAAAAAAAAAGCACATACAAGCTATAGAGGGATTTGTTCTATTAGTGTTTGTAAATAGGAGATCATGGATGCATCTTGAACAATAAATAACCACTAGGCAGACAGTATGCAATGTGTTAATTATTGAAACTGTCCTACCAATTTGATTTGAAACTGTCTTATTGCTATTTATTTCTCAATAAAATTATGGAAAAAAAAAAGAAATCAGTGTTAGAACTGCATCTTCATTTTGTAAAGACTGATGTTCAATTCATTCTAGAACTGTTCTTCCTTTGACACTGACCACTTGGTATACAACCATATATCTGCATGCAGCAATATAAAGTGCTGTACATAATAGTGAAGTGGATGTTTTAAAAGGGACTGATCTCTGGTTTTAGTGCACTGAAAAAACATTTAAAATGTAGTCACTAAAGCAAGCTATAAATCCCACTAGGAAATACTAGTGGATGACTACATTTTCTGGTTCTATTTTCCTGTCTACACATGGACAGCTGCCAAGAAAACAAGGGTACTATTGTAAGCAAAATGTGCAAGCACGATGCCATGAGAAAAACTGTGCAGCACCTGGATCCTTATTGTGCTTTTAATAACAGATTTCTTTTGACTGCCATTTTGCATTACTTCATGGCACCTAAGGATTAACCTCTGAGTAAAGTATGATATCCAAAACCTTTCCCAAACCACCCTTAGCTCTTCCTATCTCTCATTAATACCCCATCATGATTCCCAAGTATGACTACATATTATATAAACTATCAGCTGACACTCATAATTACCAGTTTGATTATATGGCTCTAAATTGAAAGATTGACTTGCTAGTAAAAAACCTCTCTCAGTCACTAATAGTACTTAAACTTGGGCAGAAGATGGATGACTCTTCCAAAAGGGATTGAGTCTGAGCCTTGAGTTAAATCCTATGAGGTGAGGTGAGGATACACATCTTCCATACAACATGTTGTTCCCCATTAAATAATAGCAAATAACTGGAAGTGATATTCCAATGTTGTCTATGATGTATATTAGGCAGATAAACCCAATCTGAAAATTACAGGATTAGTAACCTTAGATATAAAGGTATTAGTACTCTTCTTGGGAACTTTTAAAAAGCTATTCCTTTCTTAATGAAAAATCACCAAATGCCAGATAGAAACAACATGGTGACATGTTGTTAAACTTTTCAGATTTCTCTAGAAACCACTCAGTAAATTCACCCTCTCACAGCAATTATCAGAGAGAATCTGATAATCCGGGTGGTAAGAAACATCACTCAATCCAGGAGCTTCATCTGTAGGAGCAGAGACCCTACAGATGCCTCTACTCTACAAAGCACTATGGAAACAAGATGCACCATCAGAGAACACTGGGCATACAGAGCCACCTCTGCCTCAGACAGGTTCTCACCCTTCTCCCCTTGAAGATGCAAAGCAGTTCTAACTCAATGATTGAAGTACAGGCTGGCAAACACAGCTTTTATCATGTACTGAAAACTCCTTTCACAACCAAAGCTGGTTTTTGTCAACCGACAGATGTTATTTTTAACCAGAAGCTTTTTTCTTTATTAACAAATTAGAGTAAACATCACATTTGTGTAGCTGGAAGGGCAGAGACCATGTTGACAGCTCAGAAAAAAATAATTTATGTACTAAGATCCTTTTATTCACTCATAATGAAATAAGCCAGACTTTGAATTTTTAACAGTGCCTGCTTGTTCCAAGCATCTTCATGAGGCTTTTTTCTACTTTTGTGAGCATTCTCAAATGACTAATTATGCCTGGAAAGGATGCCTCTAGCGTTCTCCATAACAAAAAGAAGTACCAGATGATGTGCTTCTGGAAGCAGTAGCCAATGCTCACATTCACAAAATAATTACAGGCAGAGACAGCAGAATATCTGAAATGGAGCAGCCTTCCTAAAACACTCCATCTTTGCAAAAAGGATGTGTACCCCCCTTTCCTGATACAACACAGCTATTTCTAGAATAAACTCAGCATGCACTGATCTCCCTTCTCCCAAATCATCAGTGAATCAAATAACCCATTTATTCCTACTTAGCAGCTTTGGAAAATGTCACTAAAACTGCAGCTTCCACAATGTATTTGTGAGGATCACAAACTACCACAACCAACCACATTACCTTTGACTCACACCAGCTAGCAATTAGACTAGTGGGCAATATAGAACTGAACTAGTAGGGCCTCTATGGTTGTTTTTAAATGGCTCTAAAAAATAAGCACACACTATTTTTCTTAGTCAAGTAATTATTTGCATGTATCTATCTATCTAATGCTAAAAGGGTAAATATCTTGTTATCTTGTAGTACTAAATAACCATTTACCTTAGATATACAATTCAAAACCAGAAAATTATAAAGTAATCTAGGGTTTTTAATATTGTTCATGGAACAGCCCTAAAACCTTTTATTCTCACCCATTTTAAGTATCTCCCTAGGGTCTCCCTAAAATCAAGAGTCAGAAATCTGCAGTTTTATTTCCAGCACTGATAGTCAGTCTTCCCTTTCCCTCCATCTTTCAGGTATAAAGTGATAGTGGCAATATTTATCCCACATTTAGCTCATAAATATGAATAAGCAATAGCCTACCAAGTCCTCAAACATCACAGGCCATAGGCTTTTTTGCTTTCAAATGAACAGCATGAAGACCTACCTAGACTGACATCTGATGTCTACCCTGTCAGACCTGAAAATTGTACACCTTATTAATGGATCAGCAACTGTAAACAGAGAAATGTATGAAGCTACACAAAGGACTTCCAGAGTCATGCTTCTAAACAGGAGCCTGGTAGTCATTCTGCTTCTTAGGAATACTATCATAATAATAATAATGAAATATCTTTCCTCCACTTTTAAAAGGAAAGATGATCCATGAAGACTGTGCTGTCAGGTGGTCTCCATCCACTATAACAGAGTAGCACACACACATTAAAACCCATCCTAGAAGGCAGATCTGGTCCTTGGCAACAGCTACTACTCTCCTTGAGGGATTTCCTTTATTGAATCTCACAGGATGGATGCAGCCATGGTAAATGGCCTCGAATTACTCACTACTAAAATAACTAATGTGACTCTCGACTCAATGATTATAGCCTTTGCTGGTTTGCAGGACAACGAATGGATAGGACTATTTCCTGGAAAAATGTTAGCATGCCAGGATTCAGACTAGTGCCTTGAAACAGTTTTCTGCTATTATTGAATTACACTCCCTTGAATTGTTTGGCTCTTCTCGTTAATTCAAATGATATTGTATTTCATCCCCAAATTAAGGCCATCCTCTAGGACTGAAGAAAAAAGAACAAGCTAAGCAGGAACAGGAAAAAGATGACAAGAGAGACACAAAAATGACCAGGATTTCCTACTCAATGTATATGTATTCTTATTAGACAAAAAGCCTTTAAAAATTTTTTTGCGCCGAGAAGATAGCTCTGTAGACTAAGCACTTGCCTGGCAAGCCCAAGGTCCTGAGTTCAATCCCCAGTACCACAAAAAAAGAAAGAAAGAAAGAAAGAAAGAAAGAAAGAAAGAAAGAAAGAAAGAAAGAAAGAAAGAAAGAAAGACAAAGACAAAGGAAAAAAAAGGATTATACTGCTCTACAGGGAGTGAGGGTGATAAAAATAAGTAAATAAATAAATAAAGTTTTTTGGTTTTTTTTTTTTTTTACTTGCAGTTTCTAAAGAAAAATGGCCATAAAAATGAAAAGGCAAGGGTAATTTTCTGTAACACTCCTTGGTGTGTTTTTTTTCTTTCAAGCCTCAGTAAAGTTAGTTCAAAGAGACATAAATAAAGCCACCAGGCCTGAGCTGGCCTCCAGCCCTAGCCCTGCCTGAGTCAGCAGTTTGCCAGGTGATTGTTCAGATAGTTCTGCAAAGGTCCACTGGAATGTTTTCAAGCAAAAAGCTAAGTTACAGAAAACACAAATCATGATAATTCCATTCATTGAATAAGCTATGATCATTTTTCCACTGCTGTTTGTCCAAAGATTGCCCTATGCATTACTCCCATTTATAAGTGTCTAAGAAAAGAAACAATGGGTAAACAGTGCCTGTGTGGTCATTAACCATAGCCTGAATTGAGAGACCCAAAAGACATTTTCTCCATCCTAATTTTCCCCCTACCCTGGCTCAAAACTAAGCCTAAACCTCTTGTCACTGCTGGTTAATTATGCTCTGAATGTCTGAGCTCCCCAAGGAGGATTCATTGATCTTCCTTTACAGAAGGAAAACCTAAGGGTAAGAGAGAAAGAGAAAGTATCACCTTTCCTAGGCCTGGAACATAAAGAAAGCACACCCAGCTCCAAAGTTCTTTCACATGGTAATTTCCTAATGTCAGACTGAAGACAAGAATTTCTCTTTAAACTCTACCACAGCACAAATTTACGTGAAGCATTAACTTGTTTTAAAATAAGTGCAGCCTTAAGTCAGGCTTCCTGAACCCAGGGAGCACAGCATCAAAGGAGTGAAGAGGAGGCTCTGGGCTTCTCTCTGTGCCCAGGAACTCCCTGCAGCTTCCTTGCAAATAAAATGAATGTGGCAAGATACTGTAACTGTACAGTGTGTGAATTTTGGTGTGAAGCTTACAGATTTTTACAGATGTGTATACATACAAAATGTACGCATGAACCTAAAATCAGTTTTCTGATGAGACGCAGAACATGTAAAGGAAAGCAACTGTCACCACTGTACCATTTTCTATGGACAGACTTACTTCAACTCTCAGGTGTGGATACTACAGCTTATAAGCTAAAAGATATTTATAAATACTACTAGAATAAGTCATAAGAAACTAGTACACTCCCCCATAAATTACAGTCAGACTAATTATTTCCATCAATGCTCTCCGGTATCCTAGATGTCCCCTCAAGCTATTGATGCCCTGGCCTACAAGGGAGGTCGTCCCCCATGCACACACCACAGCCTCAGCAGTAGGGAGAAGCTTACCTGGTTGGTACAGGGACCTCAGTCAGGGCACCCAGCATGACAGCCTGCTGCAGCCGCACAAAGGCAATGAAAGGGGCGTCCAAGAAGTCAACTTCCCCAACGAGCACGTTAGAAGCTTCTGCATCACGTGGCAGCTTTTTCATGAACTTATTCTTCAACTGCATGAGAAAAGCCAAGAAAGCACCATATGTATCACTCATAGAAGACTCTCTCTAGGGGTCTTCACACAACCATTGCTAGCTGGCCATATTTACACTATGTTTAGACTGTGTAATTATGTAGGCATCTAGCTTTGTCTAGGATTAAAAAAAAAATGAGGATGACCTAACATAGTTTATGTATAAAACAGTGTATAATATAATTCCATCCACTGTTTATTCACTCAGTCAATGAAGTGCTACTAAGAGCCTGGCAATGATGCAAGCTGAAGGAATACAGGACATACAGGCTAGTTACTTGCCTTGCCTGAGCCCATATTTTCACAGCAGGGGAATAAAACATGATTTAAAATAGTGATAGGTAACAAGCAGAAGAAACATAGCACATCAGAGGGCATCAACTTCACACATGGCAGGCAGGGGAGGCCTCTGAATAAATACATGGATTAGCCACCATGGAGAGCTGGCAAGAGCATCTTAGGCAGAGAACACTAAGTGTAGAGCATCTGGACAGGCTGGAGGCTGCATGTAGAGGAGTGACAATTCAGTGGTGGCAGAGAAGAAACAGCCAATGAACCTGCGGGATGAAGGGAAGCCAAACCACTGTGCCTTCGAGGATGGTTAAGGACTCAGAAGTTTTAGGCAGGAGTTGCCTAGCAAAAGTACTAGTGGAAGATGGAAGAGGAAAATAGTTTGGGAGACTTTACCATGTAACTAGTTCTCAAGGCCATGGGACAGCTACACAATCCTGAGTGTAAGTGCAGAGAAAAGGGGAGAGATATGGACTCTGTGCTGCTCTGCCTCTCATAGGAGCAGGAGACAACATTAGGGGGAGACTCTGGGAACAGTAGCACAAAGGAAGAGGAAAAACAGGACTTCACAACTGTCAGGCTAAATAGACCTGAGGGGGAAAGTGTGCCACCGAAGTCCAAGGTTGCTGGAAGTTCAAATAAGATGAGAACTAGAACTAGATGGGTAATACTGGCAAGATGGCAGTGCCCAGGGATCAGAACCAGGCTGGCACAGAGGATACCTGGGTACACAGTAAACAAGGACAAGTGGGGAAGTGAACATGGGGAGAGTTCATGACTGAGAAACACTGCTACCAAGCAGAGAACAGATATTGGAGGGAAGGGGATAAAGGAACAAAATTGGGGGCTTCAGCTGGGCACTACACTTTGCTGAAGAGGATGATCTAGTAGAAAGATTAACGTTCCCCAAGAGGGAACATTAAGATTTTATATATAGGAACAATAGTCAAAGCAGCTCAGCCAACCTTGAACTACTGGGATGAGATGATGCCCACATCACTGATGAAGGATTACCTTCAGGCAGAAGCTGTCATCACTGCATTCAAAGGTGGGGCGGAGAGGAGAGCAGCCAAGGACATGGACTTTGTGTTAGCCAGTTTTCTTGGAGTAAAGACTGCATAGCACAGCTACTTTGAGGACTTATCCTGTAAGCCTTATTCTTTCACCCAAATCAAGAAAAATATTTCAGTAATCACAGAAGATGTTATGGTTTGTGTCTAGTTGTCCCCCCAAAGCCTCCTGCAGTCATGGAGCAGCTTCTGAAACTTGTGATTGATTCTTGATCCGATGCTGAGATTGCAGGTGTGAGTGCTCCACCCTGGCCCCAGAGGTGGGTAATTTGCATTATAATATAAGGAGGGGAAAGAGGCTAGCTAGCTGCCTGAGCTGCTACCACACCCTTGTACTCTTGCTCTTGGCCACCAGCATGAAAGATTACTCTCTGTTACATGCCACTATGCCTCGGAGCCTGCTGAGTATGGACGGAACCCGCCACTGACTGTGAGCTAAGTGAACCTTTCCTTCCTTCATTTTGGGTGTCAAGTATGTGTCCCAGTAATGAGTGAAAAATAACTGAGACAGAAGGATAAATAATTTTATATAAAACACTATTATCAATTAATTGTTAATTTACTTCTTTTGGTACCAGGGATTGAACTGAGGATCTGTGCTTGCCATGGAGGTGCTTATACTGCTAAGCTATCTCCCTGACCCTATAACATCATATTAAAGCAGAGATTTATGAAATATACTTATCATTTAATATGAATAGTCTATCCATCAAGTCAAAAGTACCAGTAAGCTTAGTATTTTCTGCATAGATTACTGCTAAAATGGGAAATGGCAGGCCTGACCCAATTTCTTCCATTAATAAGGTTATGCCAACATTTCACTTTGAGCTTGTACTGGAGAGACCACTAGATCTCCATCACTGTCAGGAATATGTTTGGAGGATTGTTTCTTTAACCTGGTACTTCAGATAAAAAGGAAACTATATGACAAAAAGCAAGAAAGAATTTAGTGGATGTGGGCCAGTCAGATAGCTCAGGGATTAAAGCACCTGCATAGGCAAATGCAGGGACCAGTGTTTGATCCCCGTGTGCCTTGCCAGGCCTGCCCTCAGGGCACACTGAGACAGCGATTGAGACTGGGTGTGGTGGTGCATGCCTGTGATCCCAGTACTTGGGAGGCCAAAAACAGGAGGATCACTACAAGTACAATCTGTGTAATTAGTCCCTGTAGACCCTATATTAAAGTACAGAAAAAAGAAAAAAAAAAAAAGAATTTAGTGGATGCCAGCATGACCACTTCTAAGTAGTATGAAATTTTCCACAATTTTCATCATCCTTTGATAAACGCTGATATTTTAATTTTTAACTGTTGTTTTTCAGATAATAGAAATAGCTATATAGGAAGGATCTAAAAATCATAAGTTGTCAAAACTATAATCCTATAAGGAGCTACACAGAGGAAAAAGTAGGGTAAGGCCATGTGGTCAGACACATGGAAAATGACATTCCTAAAACTCTCTCCCAGAACAGAGCATGAAACTGATAATCTGAAATTACTCCCTCTTCTGCTTTCCCTTCTCTCCAGCATACTCCTTGCTCCAGTTTGGTGAAAGATCCGACTGTAATCCTCTTCTGTTTCATGTACTTAATTCTCATTTACTCACTATCCTCTCTTTTTTCCATTTCCACCCTTTCCAAACACCCTTTAAGATATCCTGCCATCTCCACTCATTTCCTTAGGAATTTCAGAAGGGCTCAATTCTCAATCACACCTTAAATCTTTTCCCCAAGTTTCATGAGGTTAAAGCAGCTTATGCTAAATATGTGGAATATCACAGTTGGTTATATGCCTCACCAAGTGTCTTCCTAGTACTATACTGTCTTTACTGAGACCACTGTACCCATGCTGTAAAATCAGGAGTGTGTTTTTAAGGCTTAAAAATTACAAACTAATTGCTATATGCTCTGAACTGAATTGTCAAGGCATGTTATAGTGTAGTGTATGTCAAACTTTGTGGGATCTAGTGTTTTGAGAGAAACTATTGTATCTTCTGAGTATAAATGTTTAGTGGCTTAAGTGCCCCAGAACTCTGTCCCTGGGTATATTGTTCTTATCTGCACACTCTCTGGGAGTGACTTCATCAAGCCTCATGCCTTTAAATACCACCTACTATATTGATGACTCACACATTTCTATTTGCAGCCAGGACCTCTGCCCTAAACTCCACACTTACAGCATCTCCACTTGGGTTTCTAATATTTCCAACTTCACATGTGTAAAATGAGCCTTTCTGAGATCCTCTGATGGCTGCAGTCTTAGCTGTCTGGTGAAGGACAATTCTGTTTTCCACTGTTCAGGTAAAAAACTATATTGTCATTGTCATCTCTTCTCTTTCTTCCACACTGTTCACCCAGTGCATTAGCAGATGCCATTGGATCTGCACTCAAGATGCATCAAGAGTCCAACTGTTTCTCATTACTGTCATGGCCACCACCCTGGTGCATGCTATGATCATTTCTGGATCATAATACCAGTTTCCCACTTGCTTCCCACCCTAATCTATTCTCCAAAGCAGCCAGAACTGGCAACTAGGAGTCAGATCGTGTTCTTCCTCTACTTGAGCCCTCCATAGCTATCATATCAGTTGTGAAGCCAAGGTCTTCACTAGAACACAAACCCAGCCTAAAACCTATACCCTATCTTGCTGCACCTCATTGCCTGACCTCAGAGCCTCCCTGTCCACTGGTCTGCCCTGTGGCCACTACTCCAGCTGCGTATCCTCCCTCTGTCATTCCCAGAACATACACTTGGATCCTTCACAATGCATCCTCTGCAGACAACTGTGTGGCCCCCTCCCTTACTTCTTTCACTCCTTATTTACATTACTTTCTCATCAGAGGAGCTTTCCCTGGCCACCTAAGATAAAACTCAAGCTCCATTCTCCTCATAAATACTTTTTACTCCTCTGATTGATTTTTTTTCTCCTCATATCTATTACCATCAAACATACTGTATGTGTTAGTGGTCTTTGATATTATCTGCCTCCTCACTAGAATATAAGTTTGCTAGAGGTAGGAATAGCTGTCTAATTTGTTCAGTGTTCTGTCCCTCTTATCTACAAAAGTACCTGAAAAGGGTAGTTCAATGAATTTATTGTGAATGAATAAATGAAGGAAGGAAGGAAGGAAGGAAGGAAGGAAGGAAGAAAGGAAGGAATGGAGGGGGTGTTTTTCTGCTCTTCCCAATCAGCTTCCTTAACTTCCCTCTTACCATAGTCATTCTGTGCATCTCACCCAGACCACAGAAGTGGATGAAATACACATATAGGGCCACTCTTCTAGACTCCTCCTCTGAGAAGAGTGACCCACTGAGACCAAATCCTTTTGAAAAATTTGATATTTAGGTGTTTAAAATTGAGTATTCTCCCTTTCACCTAAGATTATCACCCCTATAATTAAAGGGCCTATCTCCCACTATCCACACTAGCAAAGAATGAGATCAGTCAGCCCCTAAAGTGAAAGCAAGAAAAGCAGGAGAAGAAAATGGAAATTGAGAGGTGCAGAGTCCCAACACCAATCTCCAACAGCCAAAAGCTTAACTAAGAATTCTTATTTAAACCACCAAATCTCTTTTGGGGGCTAAATCAATTTGAAGTGAGTTTCTTCTCACTGCAGAACA